TTTTGGAAATGATCATGCAGACGATGGACCCCGGACTAGGTGCGTTCCAATTAGTCTTCCTACGAATATGACCATGTTGCGAAAACAAGGTCAAACAACCTCTATACAACGAAAGGAGACTGTGACCACAAAAAAGGCCACACCTTCTTGGTCTTTATACCTAATATTGATACTTTACCTAAGCAAGCTAATTTTATTAACCACCTATCAAGTGTTTTTAAAAATTCATTTTGTTCTCATTGATTGATGAAAGCTTATTACAAATTAAAGAAACGCAGTAATAATAGCTGAATCAAAGTTGAAAATCCTGTCATTACGAATATAATTTATAGGTAGCGTCATTTGTCCTCAAAAAGGAGCTGCATAATAGTGCCGAATAGGAGGCAGAAGTGAATAATAAAACTCAGTATGCAAAAGATAGAGAACAAAAACTTGGCAGGCCAACGATTTCACCAACAGGGACAAGCTAGAAAAAAGTATTAACAATACAAAGATCGCTATATATGTTAGAGAATAAGTTGAATCGTCAGAATATATGCAATACCTTTGCATAATTTATCCATTCCACAGGAACCCCTACGCGCTGCACAACGAAGAGTTCAGCACTAGACAGTCCAGGAGTAGAAACTTCTTCATTAGTAGAATCCGGACGAGGCAGTAGTAAGCGGACATGCCTAGTTGTTGAAAGAATAATTAAATCGTCGTTAACAATATTTTAATTATGAGTTCTGTATAAATGGGCTGCATGAAAACTTAGTAGTAAATAAAGATGTGCAAAGAATCAAGACAAATCTGCGTGTATAAGATGTGGTGTGTTAAGAGGCCATCAAACTCAGGTAAACAAAATCCAGATTAGTTATCAGCCCTAAAATAACTAGGGCTGAAGATATTAGGTTGTGTAGATTGTGTATATGAGTCTGCATAATGCTTGCTACAGAATTTAATCTGCTCTAAAGGATTCATCTTAATATCACTCTTAATTATAGATTAAATGTCTGTATTTCGAACTTAGATAAACAGGCTTTGAGAAGGAATTATCATCCTTAATGCTATTTGTTTTGTTAACAACTTTGGAGAATTGCAAAAATAGCACTTGTAAACAGGAAGGATTAAAAGATAGGCAAAAAATAGACTTTTCGACATTGAGAGTTATAGATAACAGACTCATTCACATTCAAAATGTTTATCAGTCTGCATTAAAAGCATAGAACAATTAATATACTCCCATTTTTTTAGGCATCAAGAGTATATATATATATATATGGGCATTGCTTTGGATTTGGTGACTGCCGTGTTTACCTGCCAAGAAGAGACATGATAGCAGCACCACGTCTATTCGGATCTGCTTCATGTGCAAGGACAAAACAAGCCCATTCCCAGAGACCCGCTTCTTCAAGCTGGCTAGCAAATTCCGCATGTAGTCGACTAACGGCTAGCTGAGATAGGTGACGATATCCGAGGGCATACAACACTCTCCATAGGTGCCAAGCTGGTGCCCAGTCAAGCAAGCAAGCTGAAGGGGTAGCAATAGGTGAAATTACTGATTTATAAGAAGCTCTATGACTGGTATCTTGCGTGCCGGAATCTAGCATGGGAGCACAGCGGATAATGGAGCAGGGATCAAGGGTCCGTTCGAGGCGATGCCAGCGACGACAGGCCAACTGTAAAAGATGATAGGCAGTGTCACGGGGCCAATCGCGCCAGCCAGGGAGTTGCTTGATGGATGTGGCTGTAAAATTAAGTAAAAATTATATCATCAGATATGAAGCTCAAGATTGCTCGCATTAATGTTAAATATAGTATAGGAACAATGAATCAAACCCTCTATTTGTGAATGTACCAATTCCATTGTCTGACGTTGAAAATTATCATGCTCGCCATGGCAGAGGTATTTGGACAAGATGTGTTAATCTAGGTGACAACGCAAACAAGTTCAAATCACTTCAAATAAGATTCAACAAAAATATGGGCTAAACCATCTTGGTCTTTATATTCATAACAAGTTACACTGATTAAAACAAACAATCTAATTTTCAGATATTATAATAAAGCATTTACCTATTCTACTGAAAAGGTACGCATATATTGAGGCAAGCTAGGTAGTGGAAAGAATTGTCTATCCACTATTATAAAATAAGGAAGACAATCAAGACTTAAGTGATGAATAAGAAATTTAAAAATCAGCTTACCCATCTCGGGTAAAGTAGCCTCCTCGAACAGCTCGTCAGGATAGCCAACAGTGGGTATGGGTGTGGAAGGTGGTGGCTGCGACATATCGCCGAGTGAGGGTGGAGAAGGACGGCTAATGAGCTCGGGCTGGGGACGATAAAAACTAGCCTGGAACTTTTCTGGTCTGGGTGACTGATACCGATGGTCAGATAGGGGTTCAACCTGATTACCGGATAATGTGGGGCGACGTCGATGCCAGAGTTGACTGTAGATGTGCAAAACTTTGGGTAAGCTGGTTTCGTGGCCTGACAAATACCAGATCACCACGCCAAGACAGCGTAGCCAGTCGACTCCTGAGAGAACATGTAGTTGACCTGAGGCAAATAGTTGTCCAGAATAGGAAGACTCTGAAATAGCCAGTTGAGGGTGATTTGGGCTGACAGGAAGAAGTGGCAGACCAGCGAGAAGAGCGTAGATCCGAAGCAGAGTAATTGGAATAAATCGGTCATACTAAAAGATGAAAATAGTATGTAATCAGTGAGATAGTGAGCAGCAAACAAAGCAGATATTCATGTCACAGGTATTAAAATTAAATCATGATTAAACTGCCCTAGCTTTGAAATGGGTACTGCAATGAAGGTCTGTCTCCTTAATAAGAAAAATTATATTTAATTTCTCATCGAAAATTTGAAGACCGTGGTCACGAATTTAATTATACAAAGATTAGGACTAACGAGTGTGGAGTCCAGGTACTAAATATGTAAAAAGCTAAAAGAGTTAGCTCTATGGAATAGCTTGGAGAAGTCATTAAAACACAAATATGCTGGAAAGTGGCTAGTCTGTCGAGGATGATTAGAGATGAAAAATGAATACGATTATGAAAGAAAAACAATAATTCTTAAGGTGAATTGATTATATTGTTTGATATTATAGTCCATAACTGCAAATGTTGTTAAATTTAGGTAACAGAGATACAATCCTAGTTAGATCGTTATGCAAATGATATTCATGGGAGTAATGAAAGTTTATAAGATCCAACGGAGAGAAATGAGTAGAAAGCGAATCACGCAATTAATGAGAATGATTTCTGACAGAAAAGAAATTTTTATACACTTAAGGTTTAAAGTTAGAGAGAAAAGACAAAAAAGACAACCGAGGCCACCCGAAGGAGAGGGTGATATGATAGCCCAATAATGGTAATTTGTAGTATAGTCTAAGACTTAACGAAATATGACGATAATGAGAAAATCCAAGGTGAGGATATAGTAAACCGAAAAGTAGTGAATGTGATTATGCAAATAACTAGTGTAGTATCAAGAGATTCGAAAAGAAATATCACAGAAAATAATTAAAATGTTGCATATACATATTTCCTTGATGCTTGTATAACCGACCTGGGTTTTGTGCCATATGTCAAGTTGTTTTTGAAGGCCATGGCGTACCAATGGATCTCCAGCAGTTGCTTGTGCTAAAAGACTGGCCAATCCGGGAAGACCATGAGCTAGAGCAAGGCGACAGGCAGCGCCGGGTTCCCCGGCGACCAGACAGGCGAAAATTGCATCATTGGCTTGGTTTAAGATATTATGATCGGTAGGAATAGATGAGGGTGGCACCTTCGAATTCTCGAGAAGCCCACTGATAAGGGCCATATTAAGTTCGTTCAACCGAGTAATTAGCCAGGGTCGAGATTGATTCCTAAGTAAGACAAGGACGTAAGTGCAAGGAAAAAGTAAAAAGGGTAGGCTATCAAAATTTTAGCTAAGCTAAAAAGAGCCGTGATTTAAACTATGAAAGCTTATGATAATTCATGAAAGAGAAGCTTAAGTTCGTTTAACCTAACGTCAAGGTTACTTATAGCATTCTCATGAAGACATAAACCTAAAGGGATATCAAAATTTCAAACCAATGCTGCGTACGCTAACGAGCCAATATATTGTTATTAAAAAGTTAAGCGATGCCAAGCCGCAGTATACCTTAACTCAATTAGAGTAACGTTTTAGTCTGGAAAACTAGATGAGATGTTTGACGAAGGTTATCTACATTTGAAAGTAACGATTTTATTTCGCCCGATGGCGTAAATCTTAAAAATAGTGGGTGAATTCTTGTCTTCAGGCGCCTCTTACTGACGATGCCGGTGAAACGTTTGGGAATGTACCAAGTCAATGGTTCAATGCTATAAATCACGAATACTATGGCAGGGGACACGAGACTAGGTACGTTCAACAAGGTCCCTGTGACGATCTGAAGTTGCGAAAACGAGGTCAAATCAGCACTATAAAGCTAAATGAGACTGCGACTAAACAGAGGGTCACACCATTTTGCTTTCTATATCTACGCTCCGAGAAGAAGGATCACAAAAGTGGGGAGGAAACTTTGATATGTATTACTTACAATCT